GAAAAATGGAAACACCACCGTGTGCTCTACCCTCATTATTAACAAAGTAATGATAGGCAACAAAATGTCTCGAGTGATAAGACATCCGAATTCTGTAAAAAAGTTTCTTGTAAACAAATAGCTAAAGGATTACATTTTTGAATTAAGATTTGAACTTCATTAAAATTTTGTTTAAGACCACGGCAATTCCATTGAAGAATGGAATTAGCCATTTTCAGGGAGTCTGTGATGTTGTTTGGGGTCATGCACTTCAACAACACCCATTTGACTGTCCTGTATCCCGAACCTGTTAAAGGTTACGACTGGATCCCCGTCACCCTTCCTACTACGGAAGATATGTAATTTTGAACCTCTAGGAACGCCTTTATCAGAACCTTTCTTGTGCTCATCGGTTCTGGGTGGATTTCCACCAACTGGTTTGGGAGTGGGGAGGGGAGACACAATCTCCTCAATCTCAAGACTCCCCAGACTTATTAACAATCTGGGTGTTGAGAGAAACTTTTATGGGCTTTGGAGTAATGGTAGGTTTCTGGAAATTCAGCAGGCGTTTGACAAGCAATGGACGCGGTCTTCGGCTTGACAGCATTTGCAAAAGACAATGCAAATGTTGGGGTTGCAGCCTCAACAAACGTCCTTGCTTCAGGATATGGTATGTTTTTTTCCGTCTTCACCTGCTGAACTTGTTTTTCTTTTTTTCCACATGTGGCACTCTCTAGAATAAGCAAAATGAGAGTCTTTGCAGTTAATACAATGGTGATCGAGTTGACAAGATGTACTTTCGTGACCATCCTGCCCACATCGAGCTCATCGCTTTCCCCTTACACACGTTTTTACTGTGTCCAAAGCGTTGAAAATGAAAGCAACGCAATGGATTTGGGATGTAAGGGGTAACTGGTATGGCAAGAAAACCAGCGTTGATCATCCTAGGAAGATTTGGTTAACAAAGGTCAGGACTTGTTGGGATAATATTACCATTACGTGAGGCAAGATTTTCAAGCATATCTTCCTCACAGCTGCATTCTAAATCCTGAGACCAAATAACGCCTCTTGATGAATTTAAAGAGTTATGAGGTGCAACTTTCATAGGAATGTTGGCTAGTCTTTGATTTTAATAATGAATTAGTAAAATGTGATTCTTTAGGACATTCCACTAACAGAGTACCATTTCTCATTTTGTTGACGCTTTTTGGCTCACCAGCTAAGCCAGCAAGAACTTTAGCAAGCAAAAAGGATATGTTTTACTTAGATTTATATCGTTAGTACTTTGTATGACCAGAAATCTAGGCTAGGTTTGGAAAGGTAATGGTTCCAGATCCTCGGTCGACATACGTTTGGTAGCACGAGTCTTCTTAGTTTGAGAAGCCATTTAAGTAATTGAAACGATTCATCCCTGCCTGCTCTCCATCCACCAAAGGGTTACAATATCCATGCAGGCTTCTGTGCGGATATCAAGCGCATGCGCCCAACGAGGAGAGGCAAGGATATACCTAGACAAAGTAAAGGTTTAAAATTGTATTCTACCTAGTTGACACAAGCCGCTGCTTTAGAGTAGGCACGTAGGACACAAAGGCAGAACTGCAACAGATATGTTACAGAGTAATGGAAAAGATGCGCCTACCCGTCAGCTAAACATGACCAAAGCCGATTGATCAGAGCGGGCCACTCTGACCTCCCGTCTAGGTGAATTGTGGGCCGAAGAAATGTGTTGCAGAGATAGAGCTCGCAAGCCAAATCCCCACTCAATTACCAGGATTCCACTCTCCACCGACACAACTTGCAACGCACAGCAAACACGTTGCTCCCATTACAGGGATTCTTTTAGTCGCCTTTACGGCACGCAGAACATACGAAGGATATATTCTTATCAGGGGGTTCGGGTTGGGGGGGGGGGGTAAAGTTAGGATGGACATTACATGTAATTGTACCTTGATACCCCCATTAGACAACCGGTTATAGGCTGTTCTCGGAGAATTACGAATTTGAGGAATAAGATACGTAAGTAATTCAATACTATGTTCTATTTATTTTGTATAAATTGGAGGTATAGTCAATCGCTGTTTGCACAAATGTAGGGACCAGACCACGTTATGAACAGCGGCAAATAGACAACCTACCTGTGTTACATATAAGGTAAGACATGCTTAATTGTAAGAAATATATTTGTTTCGATCAGCAAAATCATATTGTCGGAAGTTAGATTTCTGGGCCATTATGATATCTGAAAATAAATTTATTATTCATTATGATGTCAGAATTTAGATATCTAAGCCATTGAAAAACAAATCTTTGTTTAAGTTCGTTCGATGAAATTTATTGTCCTCCAAGGATTAAACAAAGCATGATTAAACTTGAGAATTTAAAAACTTCCAATGTATATTTCAAAACCAGTTACACGAAAATGCTAGTTGTGTGACAGCTAAAATGCAAAGTAGCCCAGTGCCGGACTGGTGGGCTGAAGGCCCACCTGTCAGGTCATTGACCAAGGTCCACACATGTACGCGTCGACGGCGCCCCAGAGAGGTCTTTGGGGGGGGGGGGGTCTCTAGAAAAATTTTGAAAACTGACAACCGCAAACCCATTTTCCAAGCATTTCCGACCAAAGCAGAAAAAGGCAAATTTTTGATTTCCTAGATAACAGAATGACCTAAGAGCACTATCTTTAGATGAATTTGAGAATTCTCTTCAGTGTCAAAACCAAAAGATGATTTACACGGTTCTCGGTATAATGACGTCAAACTCAAAGTTCTTTACTTGTAGTACACTTCTTTTTTTGTGTTGTTTGTCAAGTCATTTTTTTCCTATATTTTCTTTCTCCTGTCCTGTGTCTTGTCCCCTCCTTTCTTTCTCTTTTCCTTTTTTTTTTCTTTATAGGCTTAGGCCCACCTGTCACGGACAGGTGGACAGGTGGGCCAAGTCCGGCACTGAAGTAGCCTCTGTAGGGGGTAGGGTGGTCGATTGGTTTAACGCGTGCCCATTAAGTTACATGATCTGTCATCGAGTCCAGTGACTTGGTTTCGACTCCTCCCTTGTACGTGACAAAGAGTAGATCGTCTGTCCCAACCTCATCTTACACCTTTAAGTGAATTGTATTTTGATATACAGAAAACATTTATTTTAGAAAATCAAAAAATAAATATTACATTTCACCAGAAACATACAATGAAAACCGGTTCTCGAACAAAAGAAATTCCAAATACAAATCACCAAATACCAATCTTGCAAAAACACTGCCAAAAAACATTTTTCCAAATTCATCTAATCGGAATATTATGACGACAAAGGACGCTAATGGTGGGCTGTCAAATGCCGAAAGCAACATGGCATACAATACGTCGATAGACAATAACGGGGAATCAAGTCGGCACACAATACGAGTCTTGGCTGGATTACCGTGACAGTAGTGAAATCGTATGCGTGTTTTTTCTAATCCGATCTTTCGATAAATGAATGGAATATTGTTTAATGTGCACGTCAGCTCCAACCGGGCTATAATGCGCCAAACATATGGTGATATTTACGAGACACATTAAATGAAATTATCCCTTATCTGTTGATTCTATAGGAGTTTCGCCAGTCTTCTAAGAGAGGCTTAATGTACTGAAGTTTGTTTGTGCCTTCAAGATCCCAAGACAGTTGCCAGCGGCCATAAATGAAATGATTTATACAGGATTTACAATCGGGATATGGTATTAAAAAGGGTGATTGGGGGAGATCTAAAGCCGCTTTGAGAGCAAAATCTGTTTGATCATTCCCCCTTCTATCAAAGTGACTGGGGAGCCAGCAAAAGACAATGTCTTTGCTGCAGTGGAACTCGTAAGATAGTAGCAGACGATAAACAGCTGCTACTAATGGGTGTCAAGCTGTTTATTGTGCTGTAATAGAGTTCATTCAATCATCGCATCTATTACAGCACATCATCTTTACTGATTCTCAGTCCTCACTTCAAGCAATTAATAATAAACAGCTTGAAAACCCATTAGTAGAAGATGTTTATCGTCTGCTACTATTACCCTTTTTAACTCCGTATAAGGATTTTGATTCTTCAATAAACCATTCCATTATGGCCGTTGGCAATGATCGTGGGATCTTGCAGGCACTAACAAACTTCATCACATTAAGCCTCTCTTAGGAGATTGGCCAAACTCCTACAGAACCAAAAGGACATATAAAGTTGTGTCGCTCTCGCATAGGTCATACATTTTAAGTCAAATGTTCATGTTAAAGCGAGGGCATCAACCAGAATGTGAACACTGTCATGTTTCTTTGGGAGTTAAGCACATTCTGATTGAGTACAAGCATTTATACCGTTGTCAATCTTTACATCAATTGTGTGCCCAACCGGGTTTATATGGTAAAGTGATAGACTTTTTAAAATAATTTTATCATAAATTTTAATTTGTGTATATATATTATATATTTCATTTTTGTATTTAAATATTTGTATGCATAAAAGATGTACTTTATTTTTAATTTTACTAACTGTGATATTGTTTAAATTGATGCATGTAATTGTTTCTGTCATATAATTTAGCCTGTCTCGAAATAATCACCATATGTTTGGCCCAATATAGCCCGGTTGCAGCTGACGTGCCATAAAACATTTCATTTCATTTCATTTCATTACCTAAAACTGGTCGAGGGTTAATATAATAATGTCACCAATCGACAGTGGAGGTTTCGGGTTAATGTTGGGTCATCAATGGTAATTATTACAGATGCACTAAACAACAATTAGAGAAGCGACCGTAAATGCTATAGTTATACTAACAATTTTGAAGTTAAATTAAATTACAGCGTTTAGTTTTGTTATTTTTTTCAGCATGGGTGAAGTTGTTTTGTGTCTTCTTGTAATTTTATTATCTGGATCTGATGGAGCCACGTGTGATATGGATGCCAAGATTTGTGAGTTCTGGTTAACGGTTGATTTCAAGCTGACAATGATGAACGGTCGAATATCTGTTCATCCATATCAAGGTCAACTTTATAACTTTAACGATACGATGAAGACTAACCCAATACCAGACACGAGCGATATCATTACTGCCGACGGTTGGGTTGATTCCAAGCTAGTTATTGTGGCCAATGGCACCTTACCAGGACCTTCTATAGAAGTTTATGAAGGTCAGACAGTTATAGTCCATGTCAAAAACAACTTACCAAGTGAAGCAACCTCAATACATTGGCATGGTCTTCATCAACGCGACACTCCCTGGATGGATGGTGTTGCATTTGTTACACAATGTCCCATTGAACCTGGACAATCATTTACGTACCAATTCACAGCTGCGCCGAAAGGTACCTTTCTGTATCATTCTCATATCGGGGTGCAGCGAACAATGGGTTTGTACGGGCCTTTCATCATACGGGAGCGCACAACAGAGCCCATGCCGGAGTTCGTGGCTGTCATTAACGACTGGAATCACGACGGAGATTCCAACGAACAATATTTTAAAATGTTATACGGTCTATACATCAATGGCCAGCGTGTACAGCAAACACAATCATTGGATGGTGCCAATTTTACTATGTTTAATTTTCAGTCAGGGCTGATCAACGGGAAGGGCAGGTTTCGTTATGAAAATGGTTCTTACAACGATGCCCCCTTGCATGTATTTCAGATCACCCGTCGAACAGTGTACAGATTTCGGTTTATTAATACTGGAAAGGTGTATCCGTTTAAAGTCTCAATTCAGGATCATAGTTTGACCGTCATCGCTGCTGATGGATATTATTTAAAGCCTGCTACAGCTGACTCGGTCATTATCAATCCTGGGGAAAGATTTGACTGTACTATTGTCGCTAATAAGCAGATGAACCAGAGTTACTGGATTCGGGCTCAGACGTTGGAAGTCGGCAAAGTTCACGTTGCTGAAGCTATATTGCGTTATCCAGATGCACCAAAACAGCAACTCCTGGGCCCCTCTATGGAAAGGCAATGCACCGAAATCGAACCATGTGATGTAATTAACTGTCCCTTTTCCTATCATCCGAGTATAGCAAACACTGAATGTTTTACATTTGATCAATTGACGAGCTCAATATACGTCAGTGATCCAGCACCCACGGCAGCCAGCGACGAGCTTCAAGAACGATTCCTAAATTTCGCTTTCCCTGGAAATGTTGTTAGACCAGGATCAGTGAATGGAAGATCTTTCGTCCATCCACCAGTAGCAGCTTTATCCCAACCACAAGAACTATCAAATTACAAGTGTGGAGATGACTGTGGAGAACAGAAGATATGTAACTGTATGTATTCTTTGGATCTTGAGCATGATAAAGTTTACCAACTGGTTTTTATCAACATGGGTCAGGGGAAAGGTTGGTCGCACCCTGTCCATATGCACGGTCATGCCTTTTATGTCCTGAAGATGGGTTACGGTTCCTACAATAATATAACAGGCCTTATGACAGGCGAGAATATGGATGTGGACTGTGAAGATGGTGTTCCTAGAGATGTCAGTTTCTGCAATAATGCTACGTGGGCTAACGCTTCGTGGTTAGGAGGTAATGTACCAGGTCTTGAACTGAAGAGTCCACCCAGAAAGGATACTATCATTGTACCAACTGGAGGCTATGTTGTTGTTAGAATCAAGGCCGATAACCCAGGTGTGTGGTTTATGCATTGTCACATAGAACTGCATAACATGAATGGAATGGCCGTGATGATCAACGAATCGTTTCCAAAGCATCCGGATCCACCAAAGGGGTTTCCAAGATGTGGCAATTTCGATTACCAGGGAAAAGGTTGTATAATATATTTCTTTTTTTTCTGTGTTATATACTCTTCAAAAAAAGTAGGGGATATTCAGAAACAATACAAAACTGCGGAAATGCACTGCTGTTTTTATTAGACGTAACTAGTGTATGTTTATAATAGGCTAATTGGTTACACATGAACATAAACAGTTCATATGGGCGGCTTATCTGACGGCCCCGTTTTACTCGCAAAGAGATACGTCGTCAAAAGTGAAAATGGACGTTTTTGATTTTGTCAATGAGTAATTGCTCTACCAATTCTCAGACATTCGGCAATTCGTCGTTGCATGCTCCTAATCAACCGTCCAATCACGATTTGGGGCAATCTGAACCACTCCTCTTGCAGTGCCGCGGCCAATTCTTGCAGTGTTGTCGGTTGACGTTGACGTCGACAAACACGTCTCCCGATCAAATGTACCGTAACACACTAAAGCAAAGATACGCTAAACAGTAAATCTTATGCAAGAACCGATAGGAAAGCAAACATGGATAGATAAACCAGCACGCGGCAGTTTTCATCAACCTTTCCTTGGAGGTGTCAAATTTGACAATGAACCCCTTGTGTGTCGCTTGTGCAGCTCAATGGTTCTGTTGGGGCGATAAGTTCTTCATCGGTGAACATACTCTCAAAGCCTGTCAAGTGTCTATGACTATTTATCATATCACAACCTGCATAGGTATTTACAATTCAATATCCCCAACTTTTTTTGAAGAATATATATCAGTATAACGCCTAGTCGTTGGTATGGAACGAATACTTTCATATTATATATCAGTAGTATTCTTGCTTGTGGATAGGGTAGGAGGGTTGTTTTATATATCAGTTGTCCTCTTGCTTGTGGGTAGGATATGAAGTTTGTGGTTTTATAAACAACACATTTTGAGACCTACACAGGGTTTAGATTTTTCTATGGTCACATGTGCCCGGACAACGACATTTCCGCCTAATCGTCATCAAATTCTAATGGTTAAGGATTCTTCCAAGTTGACTATTATTCAAGAATTATATATGCCTATTGCAGGTTTTGATTTGGGATTCAAATATTATATAAATTAGTATAATTTAGACCGTGGTAGGCTAGCACGGATATCCAGTGCATGCCCTCGGGGCTAGACGAAGAGTTATAGGCTACTCAAGCCAGAAAGCAGAAATATGTGTCCAGCCCGATTGACCCAAGACGTAGCATTCTAGAATAATGTAATTGGGACAATGAGGTATATTTTGCTGAGTGGAAAAAGACAACAAAGCATTGAAATTCGGATCGATCATTCTACAGTGATAAAACGACCAATGCTGAAAGTAATGTTTTTCAGAGACAGGGTTAGGGGCACAAGACAAATTACTAAGAGGGGAGGGTGGGACAAATGAAATGAAATGGAGTTTAACGTCCTACTGTTCTGCTCCTAACCTGGGCTAATGAAGACGGGCATACGCCATACAGTGTGCTATGAGGGAAATTTTGCCCGGACAGCGGCACTACGGCCTACTCTTATATTGAATTCCAACTGCCAAGGGATCTTTTACGTGCACGCCAATGTGTACACGGGACCTCGGTTTTTCGTCCCATCCGAACGACTAGACAGCTTTCCTTATCAGCCCTCCCGTCCTGCATCACTGACAAGGGAGAACCACGCCGGAAAATCTGGATGAACTTTCTCGGCCAATGCAGGAATCGAACACCCGACCTCCAGGCTAGCGAGCTAGCGTCTTACCCACTTACCCACAAAATAAAATGTCACTAACTGCAGCATGTTAATTTGAAGTTGCTCGTCTGAACTTGCTCGTAATGAACAAAGACGTTTGAAAAAGACTTCCGTCGTTTGGAGTAGTTTTCTTGAGTTTTAAAAAAAAACATCTTTGATAGATAGATTATTTTAGTTTGAGTATGTTATCTTTGAAATAAAGCATCAACTTACACTACTAGTACGTGGGAAGGCACTCCATATTATTACAGGTGTCTTACAAAATATAAATACTGTATATCTAATTCTTGTATATATTTATTCAAGGGCCTGGTCGATACTGCCCCGGGGAAGGTTTTGTGGCTTTTATCTGTAATATGGTTGTTGGTGGTGTTGTAATCTTGGTGATGCACTTGGTTGAGAAGAATGGTATGATAATATTTAAAGTTTTAATTTCTAGTAAAGCCTCATCTGAAGATTTCCTTTGAAAAGCAAAATACAACCATGGCATACAAGATCATTCGGTTTCTCACCTTCTTCTCCGATACCTCTTGATGTATTTTAGGCAGTCACGGGTTGCTCAGTGAGTAAGGCGTTGGTTCGCTAACCTTGAAGTCCTCTGTTTAATCACTGCATTGACCAAGAAAGTCCATCGGAACTTTCCGGCGTGGTTCCTCCTCGATAATGGTGTCAAGGGGTCCTTTGGCAGTTGGAGTTCAATGGTAGGCCATAGCGCAGGTGGTCGGGCAAGATTTATGCCCGTCTTCATTAGCCCAGTCGGAGTAGAACGGTAAGACGTTCAACCCATTTCATTAGTGGATTTCAACAGAATTTGGCAGGTATATATGATGCCACGGTCATGTTTATTGAAATCTGTTCAACTGCAGTAGCCGACAACTGTAGAAGCTGGTCAAATTTAAGTAATATTACAATATCAAAATTTTGGATAATACGTTGTTACGGTGTTAATTTTTATACGCCCACGTGGGAATGTTAAAAATTGTCGCCTCCTTCTTAGGTCCACATTATCACCCAATCTTTTTCATTTTTAGTTTATATATTGTTAACATTAGTCAGATGAAGAGTCCTATTGAATTTCAACCATTTCCGTTAATTACTGCCAGAGTTATTGTGCTTGTTTCACTATGTATAATCCTGTAAATGTTCTGATAAAATTTAGGATCAGATCAGTATGAAATTTGTAAAGTGAAGAGCCTTATTTAATTTCTACAATTTCTGATGATTCAGAATATAGAGTTATTGCCCTTGAGTACATCATAGAATCTTGTCATAGCGGTAATTATATATATAAAGATATATTTTTTTTATTTAACTAAAGATTAGCAATGTCCCAGTTTTTTTTTATTTTGGACTGTTAGGAATACTTATGGCTGACTGATGTGGGCATATGTTTCGTTGCCTAGTAAGATATCCTTGTACACTCACATTGAAATATTTTCAAGTATTGCCACTCCCAGTTTATCATGAATTATTTCTTGTAAACTCGTGACCGACTACATTTATTATCCCGCGCAGAACGAAGTTAGGGAGGGATATTGAAATGGGGTCCGCCCGTCCCGATTTCGTTTCCGGAGCATATCTCATAAACCGGTCAAGATATCTTTCTGAAACTTTGTACACACATCAACCTATTACAGTAGTTGTGCCTTTTGCTATTTTGGAATTTCTGGGATTTATATTGTTTGTGTTTCGATGGAAACAAATTTGACTTCGTTTTTATGCACAATTTCGTTTCCGGAGCATTTCTCATAAATCGTTCAAAATATCTTTTTGAAACTTTGAACACACATCATCCTATACAGTAATTGTGCCTTTTGTTAATTAGAAATTTGTCGGATTTAATCATTTTTGCGTTGCCATGGAAAAACAATTCTCTGTTGAATGATTTTTACTACACATTTGAATTATTTTTGGTATATAATTATTATTCTAGAGCATATCCCTGAAACTGTTCAAGATAACTTTTACATTCATCAACCTATTATTTTATTTTTTATGATCCTCCTTCTGTCCCGATTTTATTTCTAGAACATATTTCATTATCTGTTCAGAGAAATCTTTTTAGAACTTTATACAAACATCAAACTATTAAAGTATTTTTTTTTTATGTATAAACTTAATGTTTAACATACATCAGCTGATTGAGGTTTGCAAAGGTTGTTGTGCAAACCTTACAGGGAGTAGCGACTGTGCCTTGCCGAGCTACTATGATCAGAGTATGAACCTTCTGACTAGTCCCATTGATATTCCAAGAAGTTGTTTTTCTTTATGCCTTCCAAACAAGTTCAAGGGCGCGGGATGGTGATGACTAGTCATCTTGTTTATACTTTATCTGGTTTGCATAATGAGGGAAAGATTTCTGGAGTTAATGCACTTGATTATTTTCCACAATCTTGTCAGTGCTTTTGCGACAACAGTTATCACCCGCTCTGCCTGAAATTTAATTTTCATTTATATAAGGCAACTTATTTCGACAATAGCCATTAATTGGCTCACAATCACATTAAAGAAAAATAGATTTCTGATAAATATTTTCTGCAGTTATTGCTCTTGATTTCTTTGCAGAATCTTGAGAATGATTCTACAACAAACGTTATCGTCCAACCTGCTTGGAATTTAAATATCGACCTATTTTGACAATTCCTATAGTTATATGATATCTTTTCTCCCATTTCACAGATCGGAGTCGTGGGTCAATGTGTTGTGAAATGATTATTGTAGCTGTTGCTTCTGGAATTCTCGGTACTGGATCACATATGGCTTGTGGTAAGTATTAAAGCCTTTACCCTGAAGAATATTTACATTTTATATTAATGGTGCTAGAATACATCTTATCAAATAAAGTACAAGACAGGATTCTGTTTTATACTTTAATCTATTTTATAATTTTCGAAAGAATATTCGCTGTAAGGGCTCGACGTTTCAAGATACCAGATTGAATTCCAGTCTCTGTATTTTCATGATATGAATATAATTATGTATCAGGTCTGTCCGTCAAGATGCCTATAGCAGTAGTATAAAACAGGGAATGTAAATTATTGGAATCCAGAATCAGATACTGATCAGGATGTTTTAAGTTTATGGAGGATGGTAAGGTGGTCGAATGGAATAACATCTGTACGTCAGATCATATGTCTGTCATTTAATCATGTGGCAATGGTTTTAAGTCCCAAGATTTTGCGTGGCTTCCTAAAGATCCCCACGCGTAAGCAAACTATTGAAATAAAATAGAACCATGAGTTAGTCTGGAAATGACCTCTCTCCCTACCCAAATTTTTTTTTATCTAGAATGAATATTAAACCATATCTCTGGTAATTTTAGGTTTTCGCGTAGCAGTTGGTGTTATAATTGGTGCCAATGTTTTTTGTATGGTTGTTGTTATTACAGCAATAACTAAAATGGTTAATTCCTTTTGCCCGTGTAAGTATTGGTTTTAATTTACTCTTTGGAATAATCATGTTTACGACATTTTTTTTCGGGGCACAGGGAAGAACCAGATTGCAACTTGCAGAGTTATATTTCCTTTCCATAAGCTAAGTCTAGAATACGGGAGTAAATTTATTAAAACTTTAGTGACAGTAATCCAATCAATTTATGAAAAAATGGGGTCAACCCCTACAAAATAGCAAGAAAATGTTTTTTGATAATTTCTGGTAGATTTGGGTGTACTTAATTGTCAGGTTTTACAATACGTTAATCGGTTTATGAAAAAAGGGAGGCAACTCTCAAACAATTGAAATACGTTTTTTTTCATAGTTTCTGTCAGTGTTGGGTGTACTAAATTACATTTACCAATTTGCTCTACATAGAATGCAGAGGGGAGCCACGGTGGGTAAGACGTTGGCTCGCTAGCCTGGAGGTCGCCTAAAACATTCACGGGGTCGTGATGGTTAATTTGATATGTGGGGATAGAGCGCGGCAACGAAGCGTGATGGGCGAACATACACACACCCACACATACATCTAAAGATTAAATGTTTTAGTACGTAGATATGCCATCGTGATAAGGCTATATAACGTCATACTATTTTTAATGGACTCATTTGACATTTTGATTATCATATTCGTAATTATATGTATGTTCATACTCTATGGGGTCTTTAACCAACCATTTAGCATTTTCTTGAATATTGACCGGGCAGATGTCGGCCATCTTGTTTTTTTTACCACCTTTTATCACATTCCGGTGAGCAAAATTTGGTTAAATGTGGGGATGTTGTTAAGTACACCTAGATTAATGCATAAAAATATGTTTGTACATTGAACCCGACGGAATGTGACGAATGAGATGAAACAGAAAATGATTTTCATACAATGATTTATAGCTGGGTTTTAAAGTGGGGTCCTATAGAAGACTTTACTACAACTGGTGGGTTTTAAAGGTTATGACTGATACAAATAGCTCAAGCGTGCTTTAGATCATAACGTAAGTCATGACGTCAAGCGCAGGCGTTTCGGTCCAAAGCTTATATAAGTCAGGAAATGAAATGGAATGGGGTTAAACGTCCTACTGTTTTGCTCCTAACTGGGTTAATGAAGACGGGCATACGCCATACAGTGTGCTATGAGGGAAATTTTGCCCGGACAGCGGCACTACGGCCTACTCTTATATCGAATTCAAACTGTCAAGGGATCTTTTACGTGCACGCCAATGTGTACACGGGACCTCGGTTTTTCGTCTCATCCGAATGACTAGACAGCTGTCCTTGTCAGGCCCCCCATCCTGCATCACTGACAAGGGGGAACCACGCCGGAAAATCTGGATGAACTTTCTCGGCCAATGCAGGGATCGAACACCCGACCTCCAGGCCAGCGAGCCAGCGCCTTACCCACTTAGCCACCGTGCTCCCCTATAAGGTCAGGAGTAGGATGGCCTGTCCTACCATGTGGTTTTATACTGGATAATCTAGTTTCTTCCCATTCTTAAAGAACCATACATGCTAGCTAATTTTCGAAGTAAAATTATGCCAAAGTTAATGTTTATGATCACGCTATTATTTTGTGTATAGATCTGTTTATTTTTTATTCTTTCTAGGACCTAAAATGAAATTTAAAAGATCAAGCACGTAGTGTCCATCATATGAAGAAATTAAAGACTCGGAGTAGAATAATTCACATTTGTGTAGGGAGTAAACTGCCATTGGGGATATTGCATCAAATAATGTGTTGACAATCAGGCAAATGTTCTAAATGTTAATATAAATGTTCTTTTATTAAAGTTACAATTTCATATTTTTAAGTTATATTTTTAAAATGTATTAAAATAAAGCCCTAAAATAGATGGTATCTATAAACAGTCCTACCTTGCTAAAGAATAATCCTATTAATCCTATAATTCACTATTGCCAGTTGAAAAATTGGCAAAAATATAATTTTCAACTTCAAATTCAAACGTTTGAAGATAGCTATTCCATGGTGGGGAATAGGAAAACAAGGGAGGTAATTGTGTTATTATTTCCGGTGTGA